GGTAGCCTTTGCCAAGGCAAGGCCTCAAAAAATTGGTTTCAGACTCAAGAGTTGTTCCTCTCCACTGAAATCTTTAGTAAAAGGTGAAAGATTTATGTGATGTGAGGAGAAACCAGAGTATATAGGCACTTCTGAAAGGAAGATATACAAATGGCTAACAGCTATGTATGAAAAAAATGCTTATGTTTAACCAATTACAAATCAAAGAATCTCTAAACCCACCTATAACCTGTGATGCCCCACTTTGAGATGTCTCTCTTTTGGAGGCCAAACCAATGTATACCTTCCATGTATTGATTTATGACTTCACATGTAACTCCTGTCTCCTTAAACTGTGTAAAACCAAACTATAACCCCACCACAGTGACACCACTCACTCAAGGCTTCTTGGGTGGGGCTTTGGGTCATGATCACATATATTTGGCTCAGAATAACCCTCTTCAAATTATTTTACAGGATTTGAGTTCTTTTCCGTTTGATAGGTTCATTTCAAATCTTGGCTATTGGCAATAGTGCTGCAGTAAACATAGGCGTGCAGATATCTTTTGGATATATTGATTTTCCCTCCTTTGGATATATATCCAGCAGTGGTAATTCTATTTTTAGCATTTTCAGGAACCTCCATACTGTTCTTAGTGGTTGCACTGATTTACATTTCCACCAACAGTGTCAGAGTTCCCTTTCTCCACATCCTCACCAGCATTCACTATTGCCTGTCTTTTTGATAAAAGCCATTTTAAGTGGGGTGAGATAATATCTCATTATAATTTTGCATTTCTCTGATGACAATGATGTTGAGCATTTTTTCATACATAGCTGTTAACCATTTGTAAGTCTTCTTTTGAGACGTGCCTATTCAGATCCTTTGCCTTTGTTTATCATTTTAATTTTTTTATTAAGTCATATACACATAGATCATGAATACATTTGTGTGGATGTGGGGCACAATGTGTTGATTTTTTAAAACAATCTGGAGTGCTTATATCAAACTGATTACCTTTGCCTTTTAAAAATTGGATTATTTGATCTTTTCATATTGATTTTTTGGAGCTCCTTAAATATTCTAGTTTTTTGTTTTTGAGACAGAGTCTCAAGCTGTCTCCCTGGTAGAGTGCCATGCATGGCATCACAGCTCACAGCAAACTCAAACTCTTGGGCTTAAGCAATTCTCTTGCCTCAGCCTCCCAAGTAGCTGGGACTACAGGCACCTGCCACAATGCCCGACTATTTTGTTGTTGTTGCAGTTGTCATTGTTGTTTCAACAGGCCCAGGCTGGGTTCAAACCCACCAGCCTCAGTGTATGTGGCAGGTGCCCTACCCACTGAGCTATGGGCACCGCCAATATTCTAGTTATTAATCCCTTGTCAGATAAGGAGTTTGCAGATTATTTTCTCCCATTCTGTGGGTTGTCTCTTCCCTTTGTTGATTGTTTCCTTTGCTGTGCAGAAGCTTTTTAGCTTGATGTGATCCCATTTGTCCAATTTTGCTTTGGTTGTCTACACTGTGGGGGTTATTACTCAAGAAGTCCTCGTGGAGACCAATGTCCTGAAGTGTTTCCCCAACGAAACTTTTGGCAGTTTCATAGTTTCAAGTCTTAAATTTAAGTCTCTAATCCATTTCAATTTTATTTTTTATATGGGAGCGATAAGGGTCTAGTTTTATTCTTCTGTATAGATATCTAGTTTTCCCAGCACTATTTACTGAAGAGACTGTCCCTTCTTCACTGTCACTTTATATTCTCAGCACCTTTGTCAAAGATAAGATCACTATAGATGTGTGGGTTTATTTCTGAATTCTGGATCTGTCCTGTTGGATGTGTCTGCTTTTATTTCCAGTACCATGCTATTTTGGTTCCTGCAGCTCTATAGTATAATTTGAAGTCAGGTAATGCGAGTCCTGCAGTTTTGTTCTTTTTGCTTAGGATGGCTTTGGCATTCTGGGTTTTTTGTGGTTCCATATAAATTTTAGGATTATTTTTCCTATTTCTGTGAAGAAAGTCAATGGTACTTTAATGGAGATTGCACTAAATCTGTAAGTTGCTTTGGGTAGTTTGGCTATTTTAACAGTATTGATTCTTCCAAGCCATAAGCACGGTATATCTTTCCTTTGTATGAGTGTCCTCTTCAGTTTCTTCTATCAATATTTTATAGTTCTCATTACAGAGATCTTTCACTTCTTTAGTTAAGTTTAATCACAGGTATTTTATTTTATTTGTAGCTATTGTAAATTGGAGTTTCTTCTTCAGATTGTTAACTGTTGGCCTAAGAAACACTACTTATTTTTGTATATTGATTTTGTATCATACAACTTTACTGAATTTGTTTATCAGTTCTAATAGTCTTTTTGTGGAGTCTTTAGGTTTCTCTAGATATAAGACCATATCATCTGGAAACAAGGATAATGTGTGACTTTCCACTCACCTGCCCAAACTTAGACATTTAAAGCCACTAGTGAACACAACTTCCTGGTATTGTTCAGTTTACTATCTGCCTATACACCTGTCTGGTAGGCATACTCTCATCAGTACCAGGTGGTGGAGACAATGGTAGCAGAATATGTTGAGAGCAAAAAAAGCTGCAGATAACCCAATGTCTAGCTCCCAGAAACAGATTGTGATATACCAGCACATACTTCAGAACATTCATATAATTCACTATTTTGTTAATATTACACATCACATTAATGAATGATAGAAATTGTTATATTCATCAAATAATATATGCTACCAATTCTGTTTATAATGTATTATGTACCGCATGCTATTAAATTAATACATCGTATATTAATTCATGATAAATAAAAGTGCAAAGAATGGTAAAGTTTCACTTGTAGGAAAATAAAACGCACGTTTGGATCTATAAACGTGAATAAGCATATAAATTGTCTAAAGCCTTGGGGCTCAGACTTACTGGAAAATCGGCATCACCTGGACGGCTGGTAAAATCCCCAGGACTGGGCTACATCCCCCGAGTTGCATTTCTAACAAAATCCCTGGTGATGCTGCTGGTCCTGGGACAGGGCACACCCTGGGAGGAATAAGGGATTTGGGGGTTTTATTTTATAAAACCTAACGCATTCACTCGACAACCCTTGCTGAGCCTGTACTGCGTGCGTGGCAAGCAGTGGCACCACCTCGGCCTCCCGCTGCCTCACTCTAGAGTGGAAACTGAGGCTCCGCGAGGCGCCGCCCAAGGTCGCTCAGTCTCTAGTGGAGCTGGGATCAGAACCGCCACCACCAGACGCCTTAACTAAAGCGCCTCGCCCGCTCTCCAGACCCAGACACGCCTCCTGAGGAGGCGGCCAAGTCTCTGGGACACTGCTCCAACTGCGCGCAGGGACCCCAGGACACCGACCAGGTTGCTCCTGGGAACTTAGGGCCTTCTGGCCGCGCTCCCGAGTCTCTCAGTCCTCCGGGATCGGCCGGCGCGCGCCCGCAGGAGCCCCGCCCGCTGACCGCCGCGAGGGGGCGGGGCCGCGCGGGGGCCGCCAGGCACGCGCTCGTGCCCGCGGGGCGAGCTCCCGGGAGCAGACCCACGATAGAGGTTCGCCCGGCCGCCATTGTAACGCAGGCGCGGTGGCCAAGTGGTAAGGCGTCGGTCTCGTAAACCGAAGATCACGGGTTCGAACCCCGTCCGTGCCTTAAGTCGCCTTTCTGCCACGGGTGGACATTTTTGGGGCGGTGAGAAACAGGTTTCGAGAGCGGTAATCAAACATCCACGCCTTCCAGACTCAGCCCTAGATCCTTTCTTCCGAATTGCAGATCGGGCCAACTGTTTTCCTTTAATCTGGGCTCAAACACTCCCTCAATCTCAGGGTGACAGTCCAGGTGGTCCAGCGTCGGCGCTACTGGCCGCCGGGCTCCCAGTGGACCGGGTCGCAAAGTCCAAGGTTCTAAGGGGTCACCTGCACAGCGTGGCCCCATCTAGGGCCAAACATCCCTCGGGCAAGGAGATCTACAGTTGGTGGCACTTGGCTTAAGGGCCACTTCACATTTTTCTGAACATTAGACTCCAGTTTTATCCACTCAAATGAAAGAACTGCCGTTGCCTGATACCCAGCCCACGCCCGCAGTCAGCTGGTGTCTGTCTGGATTGCTATTTTTAAAAGGAAATCCACTGAAGGTACTGCGATTGAGAGAGAAGCCCTGCCCAGACTTGGAGCAATACTGACGGGGAAATCTAAACCTTTCGCTCTGAGCCTCCGTTTGCCCCTCAGTAAAATAGGTATGTAGCCAGCACGGGCCTCTGTGAAGCAGCTCGGAGAGAAGACTGTAGAGGCGGTCTGGGTCAACGTCTCACCGCACAGGTGTCCTGGGCATAACTAAAGGATGCCCCACGGCTGCTTGAATGCCTTTGAAGATGCAATGAAATGACCGCACCCTCCAGGACCGGTGTGGAGCAGAATCTCAAAAACAGCTTGACTTAAAACTTGTATCACCCTGGGTAGAGTGCAGGGGCTTCAGCCTAACTCATCGCAACCTCAAACTGATGGGCTCAAGCGATCTCTGCCTGTATTTCCCCTAGTAGCTGGGACTACAGGCACCCGCCACCAGGCGCAGCTAATTTAAATATTTTTTGTAGACGGGCTTTGGGGAAGGGCTCTCGCTCTTGCTCAGGCTAGTCTGGAACTCCTCAGCTCAAACGATCCTCCCGCCTTGGCCTCCCAGAGTGCTAGGATGACAGGCTCCCGGCCTGGAGGAAGCATTAAAAGAGCTCCTAGTGTGTGGTGGGTGGAACAGGACCCCGGACGTTGTTCAGAGAGCAAGACAGATGGGAGCACGCTCTCCGGAGCTGACCTGGAGAGGTGGAGCCGGCAGGAGCGGCAGGAGCTAAATTTCCCCTATCCTGCAGCAGTGGTTCCAGCGCTTGCGAGCGTGCAGCAGCGACCCCTAGAGGGCTTGAGGAACACAGCTAACTGAATATGTTCAGTAGCTATGAGGTGGGGCCTGGTCCTTTGGGGCCTGGTCCTGGTTCAAATGCAAAGGTAATTTCCCCAGAATTACCTCCAAAAACCCCTCCCATTCAAATACAATTTGCGTTTCTGACAAGATCCCCAAGGATGTAGATGCTGGACCTCACTTTGAGAACCACCCCCCTTCCCCCATCTAGAGCCATATTCTAA